ACAAATCAAAGGGGTTATTGGAAGCTGTTTCTGAACATTTCTGTTCAATTACAGTGTAAACAGCATGTAGAATATTATAATAAATAATGACAAAGTAACAAGAGTGCATTCAGATCTACATTAGTCTAAAAATGTGACACCACATTTGTAAATATGACACCCACATATATACATATATAACAACACATCATTTGCTGGTTTTAAAAGCTAGTTTGAAATAATAATGTAAAAATGTAGTTGCAAACAACATGTACTGTGCATAATGAATAAAAAAAAATATATATATATATATACACACACACACACACACAAACACACACACCCCTTTCAAATCTATCTTTTAAGTTAATATATTCTATAGGGTGCTATACATTTTTATTGTTGTGCATATATATTAGTTTACTCATTACTAAAGCCAAATCTGGAGCTTATTTAACAAAACAATTTAATATAACAGTCCAAAAATAAGTACACTCAAATCTACATGTTAGGGAAAATACGAAATAAAAATGTAAAAAAACAAAAGACAAATCAAGAGAAACAAAAATGAACATTTTGTAGTTTTTGCAATACTTCCATTAAATTTAAATATTTCTAAAGATGTTTAGTGATTAAAATATTGTTTGAATTAATATATTTGTTTAATAAAGCTGTTTTGTTCAAATGCACCACAATATATTGCTTATATTCATGAAGAAATTGATAAAAACACATATTTAAAATGTGTAATTTTGAGTACAACCATTTATGCTTAACACTGTATATGCATATATATGAGCAATATCACATGTGTAACAGTGCGATATGGCTGTATATCGGCACTGGTGGGAGGCGTGTGTTGCCTTAGTGTCCCACCAGTGATGATATACAGCCATATTGCACTGCTACGAGTGTGATATAGCATTTATACAACAGTTCAATGGCATAATCATGTATATAAAAAAGAAAATCAAACACAGAGTCTTAAAATCCTTTTCATGGGGAAAATACTTTCTTCCACCATTCATTCACATCTGCAGCTGACGTCAGAACAGCAGAAACCATTACTAATCTCATCTATGTTCTGCTCTGTTTGACAGGCTGTTGGATAAAAATGTTTCAAATAGGCTCTATCTTTATAAATAAATTGCATAGTTGCAATCTAAACAGCCTCAAAAGTATATCATGTTGTCTAACAGCTTCAATATTTGTTAAACTGTATTGAGTTTACTGATCTGCTGTTACTCATATGTGGGCGGAGTAATACAGAAGGGTGAGGAAGCTATACAAATATTGCACGGCTATCAGCCAATCAGATTTAAGAACCAGACAGAACTGTTGTATAAAGATACAGACATACATGATACATATACATACATAAAATATGTGTGTGTGTGTATATGTGTATATATATAAATATATATATATATATACATATATATATATATATATATATATATATAGACACTCACATAAATGCATACATTTAGAAACGCAAATATTGGCACAAATTTATGTATGCATGCATGTATATAAAATATATAAATCTCCCATACACACACAGACACACACAATACATATTTCTAGTCTTCTAACTTTCATAGAAAAGAACTGAAGACTGTGACAGAACGACAGAAAGTCAGTCAGTCCTTTGGCTGCATTTCAAAAGCCTGATTGCTAATCAAAGGCGAACTGTTGGACCTGAGCTTTACCTGCAGCACAAGAAAAGCTTAATGCACATGATTACTGATGCCTTGCCTTTGCAGTGTCTCCCACAGAGAGCTGGCCTGATTGTCTAGAACAAGCGCAGAGTTGCTGAGACACAGCCTTCGCTTTGCTCTCGATTCAGAATATCAGGGAGGGAGAAGCAGAAATGGCTCCCCTCTTACATGACGGAAGACACTGGCTGCCTTTGCTCTGGGTTATCCATGTTCTCCCCCTGCTGGTTGAACACAATATAAAAGATTTAACAAGCAGCAGTTCAGAAATAACCACCTTGATGTTATATAACTGCATTTTGTTTGTGTGCAATGCAATATTGTACACATCAGTTGGTCTTTACGTAATTAATGTTGCACACAATTTGAAAGGATAAGTTTCAGGAAAAAATGAAATAGCAAAACAATGATTCCTGCATGGAACAGAGTCACTGCCTGATCATAAAGGTAATACTCTATTCTGAAAGCAGCGATAGATTGAGAGCATCATGCATAAGCAGTACAGATGATTTTGAAAAGGACATATCATACAACACCCCGACTTTTTTGTTTCTGTTATAATCGGGCTCCTGGGTCTACCAAGCCAGTAACTGTTTAAGCTTTTCTCGGCAGGTTGTGGAAAGAAAAAAAAAAAAAAAAAGTGAGCTGCTCAGATTTTCCTCCCATGACATAGGAAGAATCTTATTAATTTTACTGCCCATTCATCTGCATATTTCCACCCACAATGCTGCAAGTTTGAGCAGTCTGCCATTCTAATTACTCGTCAACAATGTATAATATATGCTCCAGAAAACCATTCAGGGTTTCTGCAGGTTTCAAGTCAAATTTGGGACATTTTAAGACCCTTTTAAGACCATTATGAATTAAATTTAGACTTATACAGGGCTAAACACTAAGATTTTTTTTTTCTAATGGCCAAGTTACTTCTGTTAAAAACTATTAATAAAAGATCATGTAAAGGGATGTGCTGCTTTGATTTTCTTTCCCTGATTAGAGAATTTAATTTGGAGAATTTGCTGTAAAAATGTCTAACAGCTGTTGTAAATTGTATCTCTGCCATAAAAAAACTAATTTAAAAGATGGATCAGATGGATTCTTGGTGATTTAGTGTTTGCCAGATTGGGTATCTTTACTTGGAAAGAGGAAAATTAAAACCTGATAAAAATTTAAGATTTTTTTTTAAAGCCTAAAATTTAGTTTTTGAAATTTAAGACATTTTAAGACCAAACGGACATCCTGCCATTACAAATGTTCTGTTGTTACATGTTTAAAAGAACATAAAAGTCTCTATAGAGTCCTGACATTCGAGCCAGCTGCTTTGTTTCCAAACAAAGATGCAATTGTTTTTCCACAAAACTGGAATATCACATTTTGTTTCCAACCAAAGAGTCAAAGAGAAAAATACCATCACTTTCTGATTAACTGGAGACAAATATCAAAAAGATGAATATTTCCTGCTGTAAGAGAAGCCACTGTGGGATTTTTTCTTATACAATAAATTACTTCAGAAGATGAAGACTATAAATGAACAAAGCCACATTTCAGATGTTGTGCAGTGTGGTTTGTCCTTTAATTAATTAATGCTGTTCCGTCTTGTCTATTTTCATCCCGATCCGTTAAAACAAAATCTCATGACTACTTTGATGTGCATGCTGCAAATTATTCTGTAAATTTATCTTTTCTTATCGCATAAAAAGTTTATCCTACTCAGTTTTGCATGCAAGTTTTTATGGATTTTCAAAATGTATACGCTTTTTGCCATCAAGCCTTTTTTAAATACAAAAATAGCTGAGGACATTGTGATTAAATCTTTTTTGAAGGAAATGTGTTGAAGAATATCACCAAAGTATTATATTGTGAAAAGTTAAAAACTGCATTTTTACGGTGTTGTCCATCAACTATTTTCGAAGATTATAGATTGTGCTTATAAGGTAAATACGAAGCCTCTCCCTCAGAAATATATCATGGGCCATGATTGGTCAGCTGGCCAAGTGTTTTCTAATTGTCTAATGCCTCATAACTGAGCATTTTGATTGTCTAATGCCTTTTCACTGAACATTAAGGTACAGTACAGTACCGTACAGCATGATTCGGTACAGGTCAATCTGAGCAATTTGCCTTTGCACTGCCAACAGTACACTTACTTGGTAGTATGCCAAAAAGTATGCCAGAAAGTTGTGATCAATATCAGTCTGGCTTGAAGAAGAAAGCCGTAGGGGTTGATCACATCTCAAGTTCATTATTTTAAATACGCAAATGAGAGAAGGCAGCATGCCTTTAACTATGCAGGATTTTAAGGCTTAAGATCAATTAAACAAAATGTCAAAATTAAAAAAATATAAATATATAAAGCATTGTCCCCCTCACAGCTGACATGATAATTAATATTAGATATATGCATAAAAAAAACAATTTTATACCAGGCTGAAAACACTTTTTTTCTGCTGTAAAAATGGGCATTTTAACTTAGGAGTCCATGGGATTTACTCCCTTTTGGAGCCAGCCTCAAGTGGCCAGTCTGAGAATTGCAGTTTCAGTCACTTCCATATTTGCTTCACAAGAAAGAGCAGAAGATTGCCGCTTGTTTCTGAAATCGCTCTTCTCATTTGATGCCAAACTGTTCCAATAGGTACCCTAATGAAATGGTCCCAAAAAGTGTATGGTCCAGTTCGCTATTCTGGCACTTCTGACAGTAGAAATGGAAATACAAGAGTACCACACTGTACACTACCAAACTGTAACGCAAGAAAACCAGAAACACCACGCACATTCTATGTTTGGTGGTGTTGTAAACTCAAGAAGAGATTTTCTGTAGCCCCTACCAGCCATTTGTTGGCATCAAAATGTGAATTATGTAACAACAACATCTCCCTTTGTATTGGAAAATTTGCAGATGTTGTTTATGCTCAAAACTGCAATATTAGACACAAACTAAAGTAATAACCAAGCACCCCTTTAAATTAAAAGCAAGCTTCTGAAGGTAGCATAAAATGTTAAAGAAATAGTATGACTAAAGGCAGATAGTAGCGTCTCTGAATGAGTGTGACTGTGTTAGCAATTAACATTCGAGGAGAGTGTGCGTCTTTGAGGCTGAGTGACCTTGGAGGCAGACAGAGAGGAGAGAGAAGATAACGAGGCAGACCAAAGACACGGAGCAGAGGTGAATTTCAACACCAACTCAGTATGAAGGCCAGCTGTGGAAGAGGGGAACGAAGAGCTGGAGATAAATTGCTGGAATTCTCCATTTGTCCTCCCACATTTTTTAAATATCAAGGTAATGAAAAGTGTCAGGGTCTGGCTTCATTGAGCGGTCATTAAAATTTTATTAACATTATGTACAAGATACTGCGGTGGAGATAGCTTAATTAGCCATGGAGAACAGTTACGTAAGCAGGCCTGAGACGTCGCTGAAATGAAGGTAGTCTTGAAGCAGAGAGGGAATGGGCAGCTGCTGGATGAAGGAGGGTTTAGACAGAGTATCGCTGCCCACGTGTGCCCGCACTGCCAGGCGGCACAGATGCGCAAGGACAGGGACTGATTCTGGAATGCAGAAAGAAAAGGTTGCTGAGGTGTGGCCATTTATCATGTCAGATCAGACATCTTTAGAATCCAGTAAGCCCGGAAAATACAGTTATGTAACTTTTCAAAAATGACACTGATTCTTTTGTTAAGCAGGGTGCATTAACTTGATCAAAACTGACAGTACAATTTCTCTGTTACTATTTTTTCACATTATTGCTTCTGAATTTTCCATCCATCAGGATAACAACCAACCGAACAACTGAAGTTTGCATAAAAACATCAAACAGTATAAATGTTTTTACCATTGATAAACATTAAAGACTGTATTTTAAGCAGCAAACTATCATGCTAGAAACATATGAATTCAGAAGACTGTGACAGGAATAATGAACATATTTTTTTTCCAATTATAATGTACAGTTCAAGTCAGAATTATCCCCAATTTCTGTTTAAGGGAGAGAAGATTTTTTAACACATTTCTAAACATAATAGTTTTAATATCTCATTTCTAATAACTGGTTTATTTTATCTTTGCCATGATGACAGTACATAATATTTTACTAGACATTTTTCAAGACACTAGTATTCAGCTTAGAGTGACATTTAAAGGCTTAACCAAGTCAACCAGGAAGGGTAGGGTAATTAGGCAAGTTATTGTATAACGATGGTTTGTTCTGTAGACCATCAAAAAATATATAGCTTCAAGGGGCTAATAATTTTTACCTTAAAAAGTTTTAAAAAAATAAAATAAAAACTGCTTTTATTCTAGCCAAAATAAAAAATAAGACTTTCTCCAGAAGAAAGAATATTATTAGACATACTGTGAAAATTCCCTTGCACTGTTAAACATCTTTGGGAAATAGGGAAAAGGGGGGCTAATAATTCTGACTTCAACTGTATAATGATGTTAGATTAAGGAAATCTCATCTTTAATTCATCTATTTTATAATATTATATATTTTTACAATTAAAGAATCTAACTAAGGATCTGACAATCCTTGTAGCAAATTTGTGTGTATTTAAAAAAAAAAAAACATTTATTTGTGTTGTGTTTTATGTTCATATGTTTATATTAATTTATTTTTAATTATTTTATTTAATCATATGTTCATGAATAATTTATATAATTATCATTAAATAATTTTGATAAATAATGATTTGATTATTATTATTATTTATAATTATTATTATGTTTTTATGTTATTATGACCATTATTGCTTCAATATGATTTTATTTTTTCCAAATTAATATAATCTTATGACTGTGTGGATTCAAGCAACACTTGTTATCATGAGTAAGAGATAAGAGAATGTCTCCATTGCAACGTCTGTATTGTCTCTGGACATGGTTGTGAAGCAGTAATTTTCCATTGCCATTGCTTGTGGCATGATGACACTTGTTGGATTTATTCTGAACATATGCAACTAAGATTATTCAATAAACCCTGCTCTTTCTTTATCATCATTACTTATCTGGCGTGAAGAGTGTGATCTAACACTATAGGTACACACAGTGTGTATACACACACACACACACACACACACACACACACACACACACACACACACACACACACACACACACACACACATATATATTTATATTTATATTTATTTACAAGTTTACTGAAGCTGACTAAATCAAATCCATTAATTACTACACTGCTATATTTGGTCTCTAAAATAATTGCAAATATACAATAAATACCAAAAACGCACAAACATGTTGTTCTGGACATTCAGTGTGTTTACATGTTAACACGATTAAGGGTGCTTTCACACCTGTGAATCGATTCAGTTGTTCCGAAACAGAGATTACAATTGTTACATTGGTGCTCTTTGCTCTTGGAGCGGTTCGCTTTCACACTGCAAAGTTTCTAATCGGACCAAAAGAGCTAAAACAAGTCACGTGTGAGTAAACTCTCCTTACATTGGTCAGAGTGTCAGGGTTTATTTTGCAGCGTCCCGCTCAGCTGTCAAGAGAGGTGGTGGTTTGGGGGTGATTGACAGGGTGTGCGCGCATGTCTGAGGAGAGACGCGGTGGGGAGGGGTGAGAAGGGTGCGCAACAATACCTATTTGAGGACCGGGAGGGAGACGCGAGATTACCGGGAGATCATCACTCGTTTGCGGGCATCCGGAGACTCGCAAAACTTCCCGCCATACTCATAATTCTCTCTTCATATAGCCGTAAGCCTATTACATATCCATAAAACACTGTGATAACCGCGCTCGGATCGGATCGCTTTCTCACTGCAATCGAACCTCTCCAGGGTTCGTTTCAATCGAGCCGAGACCACCTCACTCATGCGGTCTCGGAGCGATTACTTTGGAGCGGAACAGAGCACGATTGCCCTGTTCACATATGCCAAATGAACCGCGCTAACTGGGCAAACGAGACACGTTACGAAACAAAAGTATAGGTGTGAAAGCACCCTAAGACAAAACTCTGGTTAATAATCTACCATATCATTTTGTAAAATTAGAGTAAAAGTGTTTGATGGCATCATATTGGGACATAATGATGTGTGCCATTAATTGATTCATGTACTACAACATACTAAAACATGAATACTCCAAAAATTTATTCCAAATTTCCACTATGCAAACACCTTAAAGGGCACCTATTTTACCTCTTTTACAAGATGTAAGATAAGACTTTGGTGTCTCCAGATTGTGTCTGTAAAGTATCAGCTCAAAATACCCATCAGATTATTTATTATATAATGTAAAATCTATTTTGATGTCTGGGGGGCACAGTAGCTGTTTTTGTAGCCTGTGGCTTTAAATCCAAATGAGCTGCTTCTCCCCACCCACCGCTCAGACATGCATGTCTGCTTCTCATGCATTATGTCAGATAAACAGCTGTCAGTGAGAGACAGACTTGGATGAAGCTAAAATAAGGTAACTAGTCAAAAATGCCAAGTAAGTTTATTTTATTTATCTCTGGTGGTTTATTCAAGCCTTTCTGAAATGATGAGTAACACCCAAATGCCATTTGTAGTACACACAAAAACACATATATGTGCTTTTACTGACACCATGCAGCCATGATGATAATAGCGGTTAAGAATCACAGTGATTTTACTCTATTAAAAATATGCTGTTTTAAAAACGTTTTAAACTTATAGAATTAATTATTGAGGTGCAGGTGATCACAGAGAGTTTAAACATATGTCTTAACCCCAGTTTATTTACAAAAAAATGTTTTGTGGACGTGTATACATGTTATTATAGAAAAATGGCCCCTGTCAATCAATTCGGTGGGTTGAGAAAACCGCACTCCTATGTCACGTTGCGGTGGGCCTCAAAATGACTGGGATTTAGATACTATTTTAGTGTATTTACTCAGTAAATAAAAAAAAAAAAGACACTGATTGGGCTTCTATCACTCCAATATGACAGAGGACATCCTATACCTACACAGTTCTGTCCAAACAGCTCACAAAAGTAGATTTTCATCATAGGTGCCCTTTAAATCATAATTCTGTATTTTCTATAATAAGATAAATAACTATATTACTGATGCTCATGTAAACACACCCACTCAAACATACAATAATGTCATACCGAAATGTTTACGTGGTGTCCAGGTGCCCTCGGCTCGCCGGTGAGCGAGAATCTGAAGCATTTCTGATGGCAGAGTCTTCCAATTAACAAACTCCAAAAAGAAATTAAGCGCGTCGTTCCCCGCTTCCTCAAGCCTGCATCCAATTAGAGCAAAACAGGCAGAAGTGAAGAGCTTAACACTGACGTTAATAAAGCACCATCATTTATTCAAAGCTGAATGATTAAAATAAGAACACAACAACCACAATAATGTGTTGCTTACAGTTTGTCCTGGAGGAGTAGCATGGGATCGAGTCCCGCTTTTAGCAGCAGGGGGAGCCAGAAAGAGGCATCTTTCACCTCAGTTAGGGCTCTGTCGATCAGTTCTCGCAGTCGGTCACCCTGAGGTAGACCAGCATGCTTTAGGATTAAGGGCAGGTGCTCTGGTACATGGCCTTGTAAAGTGAAGCCGTAGATGGACGTGTTCACATGAGCGCCTGCGGCCAGCAGAATCAGAGTGATCTCTTGAGCTTGGTGACACTCGCTGTTTAAACTGGGACAAGAAAAAAAGCCTTTATCATTATGCAGTGGGTTATTTTGACACATACAGGAAGCCACTGACATCTATAGTATTTTTTGGTCCAGTGGATGTGGATGTCAATGGCTGCATTTTTCCAACAATCTTAAGAATAAATTGTTTTGTATTGAAGAAATAAATTCATGAGTGTTGTTACGATACCGGAATTCGGTAACAATTACTGTAATCTTAAAAACGTCCATTTCCCGCTAACATTTAAGTACTGTTGTACACGTTCTTACACCGCGCGGATTTGCAATTTAGCTCATGTGCTCAACAGATATGGCTGTGATTGGCCGTCAAGGTCATCAGTTCACCGAACTTACCACAGTTTGATTAGTGTGACTACAGATACAGGGACACTGGAGTGTTTTAAAGCAACAATGATCACCTGGTCTGTTTAAGAGCTGACATACGAGAGTGTCATTGTATCTGTAGTTACTCAACAGTGCTCAAATGTTAGCAGGAAATGGGGGATTTTAAAATTTCAGTACTAATTGGTATCGAATTCCAGTATCGTGACAGCACTAACCACTTGAGTATGAGTAAATTAAGAAGAAAATTGTATTTTTGAGCAAATCGTCACTTTAACTATTTCATGTATACGATCACACCGGTGTGATTATGTTCAGTCCACGTGTGTCAATAACCGCTAAATTCAAATGTTGTTTTATGACAATTTATCAGCATTTTAAAATAACATTTATTTTAGATTTCAGACATTCAATTACACATGAGTACTAGCGAAACATAATATTTATGGTTAGAAGAATACTCAGTGATGTCTACGAGACAGCAAAAATTATTATTTTTAAGCATAATTGGACATTTAATTCTCTATTTTGTTTTGTTTTTTAATTTTTGCCTGTACGTCTTTTACAAAGACAATTAGTGGAGTATGTATTTGTTCTTTTGTTTTACCTTTCAGTTTTGTATTTAATACAATAACTGTAAATATTGGTTTATATTAAACATAGTGTTTGTTACTAGAACATTTACTCTATTCCTCTTCCAGTTAAACCACCAATTACTTTCATGCATTTTGAATGAAAATGATTAATTAACATGTTGTAAATCCAGCAGCTCTAATCGTCTCTGCAGCATAGATAAACATTTTAGTCCTCATCAGCAATCATAGATCAAGTAAAGTTCATTATTAAGCTATTTAAACATTGAATAAATGTTCTTACACATATTTGAGAATAAAAATTACAGATAAATTACAATGCTATTAGGATATTTGTCAATATTTGCAGAGGGGAAAAATTAAAAACACACACACACACGCACGCACACGCGCACACACACACACATATAACTGAGGCAGCGGTATGTCATGTGATGAACATGATGTGGTGGCATGAAAACTTTCAAAACCAGTTCCTGCCAGGCCACAGCTCTGCAGTTTAGCTTTAACGCAAATTATCATCTTGTTTAGTGTCCCCCTTTTTCGTAGCACCGTACGACAGAATGTTGCATGCTCAAACTGTAGTGTGATCACAGCATAACTGTGTTAAAGAAGATTGGAACTAAACGGTGTGTAGCTGCGCCCTCCAGGAACTGCATTTGCCACCTGTGCTTTAAAGGGGTGTGTTCTAAATAACATTTACAATAAACAAACTCAAACAGAAGGGTCAGCAAAAGTATTTACAAATTATGTGTGAAAAGGATAATATTAGGAACATAAAAGAAGCAAAAGATGTTTTTATGAAAAGCTTGACATTAGTGTACATCTGTGTCATACTTCCAAGAGGCATCAAGCCATGTCCACAGTGCCATCTCCAAAGGGCAGCTGTAGCCAAACTGCGGACAGCTCTGGGCATCTGGACTGTAGCCTTTCTGTAGCAAGGCCCGAAGGCTGTCTGCGTGTCCACCAAGTACTGCCAAATAAACCGGACTGACCTTTCCTTCACCCCGGTCACATTCTCGCTTTGTTACTGGAATCAGCTTCTCTAAAATACTAGAGAACGACAAGAAAAGAGCAGCCAGATAAATGCTAAATTTACTTCATGAAAGCCACAGTTATGCTTTCAACATCTTCATTTAAAAACTGTAAAAGGTTGGATTTAAGATGCATTTATTATCATGCTGATGAAGTTGCTGTACCTCAATCGATTGAACTGAGCCGCGGCGAGAATGGGGAGCTGCCAGCAGTACTCATTGCAGTACAGGTTCGGGTCAGCTCCATGGGCCAGTAAACACTCCACACACTGTTCGTGGCCCTCCTGAGCAGCAATGAGCAGAGGTGTGGCCAGATCGTTTGCCTGGCAGTTCACATTTGCCCCTGTGGCAATGACAATCTGTGCTTAAGGTTTATATCCACTTGTTAAGTCTGAAGTCACTGGTTTCTGGGTCCAAACACTACTAAATGTCAAAAGTGAACAATAAATTATGCTAATATATGTGTGCTGTAATACTATTCAAAATAATACCCGTGATGTTTATATCTATGCTAAATCACAGATGGTCAGACAGTGATTCATTGTTTAATGATGTTGGTAAAATATTTGCGTTTGAGATGCAGCAGGACTAGGAACTGTAGTGAACACACTAAAATAATTGGCTTTAAATGTGTGATATGACTAAGCGGTGCTCGTAAACAACTATTGCAGATATTGAGAGCTTTCTCTATTTAAATGAATAGAGGGAAACATTGATTGTTCTATGCTACATAACAAGCAGAATGTGACAGCAAGCTTTCTTTATTTAAAGCAGGGGTGTCCAAACTTTTTCCTGGTGGGCCAGTGTCCGGCTGAGTTTAGCTACAACTTTCTTCAACAAACCTGTCTGGAAGTTTCTAGTTTATCTTGTAAGACCTTAATTAGCTGGTTCAGGTGTGCTTGACTGTGCTTGGCTGGAGCTAAACTATCCAGGACAGAGTTTGTACACCCCTGATTTAAAGATCCCCTATTATGGGTTTTTGAAAATGACCGTCCATGCAATGTGTAAATCTGAAAACCGTGTTTAAAACTTGATTCTTTAACGAAATAGTAGACTCAAGAGTCGAATAAATGAATCATGTTGGGTTCGGATCTTTTATTATTATAGATCAGTGCTTGTACTGTATCTCTCAGGTTAAATCTTTGTGGGGTTGTTCACAAATTGCATCCAAAGTCATGTTAAAAATGTGACACATGCTTCTTCCTTCACCGATTTAAATGCGTTTCTGAACTTGCGATCCGGTTGCCTTTGTTATACCCACCATCCGCTGTTCCTCACATGGTTACTTGGGGTTAGGGTTAAGAATAGAGTAATATGCTGGTGTTTAATTGCATTGTTTTATTACATTCCTGCATTGGGTTCTCACATACTCTGTGTGCTACTTCATAGCCATGGTGGACGTTTTTCTATGTCTCACGCTAAAAGCAGTCAACTAATCACAACAGACTGGGTCATCGGACTAATCAGCACAAATTATCTTTGTGCAAAGGAGGGGTTTGGGAACAAATGAATCGCTAAAAGAATCATATGGGAGTCGTTGGGATAATAAGGTAAAAATAAATGCATATTATAAGACAATGAAAGTGTTTTTTCAACTTTCATGCAAATCAGCCTGTTTTTAAGACCTGTTTTATAATGCAAAATAGGGGCTCTTTAAAGGGTTAGTCAAACCAAAATGTTTATTTTTATTAATTACTTACCCACATTTTGTTCCAATCCCATAAAACATTTGTTCATATTTATAATACAAACTAACAAATGAACAAAATTTTTAAATTGTGGGTGAACTAACCCTTAAATAGCCATTTAAAATGTTACAAATAAGATTCCAACAATGCTCAGTATAGTTTATGCAAAAGTCTTAGAACTAATGTAGAAATATACATAAGGTTACATAGATGCCACATTATTGGGTATTTCTAAGTAATCCACCAAATAGGTGGTTTGGTTTGGTTCATGAACATGAGAGCATGTTAACGGTGTATGAAGTTTTTTATTTCCTCTGTAATTTATAAATTATCAACTTTAAACTATTTTAGAATCTAAAGGTCATGTAAAAGAAAAACGTAAATTTCCTTACACTTTCAGCCAACAGTGTAATCTTAATTATTACTTTAAAATAAAAATAAAATTGTAACATCTATTTTCACACAGGATAAATTCAGTACTTTAATAAAAAAAAATGTTTCTTATGTCAATCAAGTCTGCATTTCTTTAATCAAAATTATTAAAACTGAAATATTATTTCTATTCAATATTGAAATATTGCCCTATTCTAATATTATTTCTTCAATCATATCTTTGTATGTATATTAAAAAAGATTATTGAGCATCCTAACACTAGACTTCGCTGTTACACGACTGTTTCAGCATGCCAATTTGGTGCACAATATTTCATCTCATCGTCAATGCTGTAAACGTTGTGTTGCATGTGTGGAAAAAATGATAAATTAATTAAAGTTTAATCTGATCGATAAAATGCGTATTCATCTGCTTGAAACAAAAATATATCAATTGTCACATTAAAATTTAATATCAAACATTAAATTTTACTCATGGATCCTTGCTAGATAAAAGGAGCAACCTCTTTGCTACATAACATCTTACAACACTCTAACCTTGCCTTGTGGCAAGGACAAACTTCTCTGATACTTTGAGAGACATTGACCTTGACACACAGCCACAAGGGGCTAAAAGGAGTCTTCACTATGATATAATTTGATTAGACGTGCATCTGCAGACAAAAGTTCTTCAAATATTAATAAGCATAGAGATGCTCAAACTACATAACATGCTTTCTTCCATAATATAATTTCAGAATGCTTTTTTTGCTTTAAAATCATATTAAGAATGTTTACTTTAAGTCTTTCCTCCTAAAAGTGGCAAGCATGTTCACCATAGATGTCTAAGTAATTATGCAAAAAAATTATGCATTTTCCTAATAAATTATTACATAAAAAGAGAGTGGCATGTCAACGACCCAAAAACCAACCTGCTTATCTGCCTCTGAAAAACAGGTCACTGTAAACAGTGCTGTGGATACAGCAGTGATACAGTAGCTCTCATGTTGCAAGACCAAACACTGAACATTGGCCAAGATATGTAATGTAGAAAAACAGAAGCATATGACTGGTTAGATCCAGTTCACACAAGGTTAATCATTAAAAAAAAAAGTCTCCTTACCAGCATTTGCAAGAATATCCAAGCATTGGTGATGTCCATATTGTGCAGCAACGAATAATGGTGTGATCCCATAGTCATCCACAGCCTCCAGAGTGCACAAGCTCACCAGGTACCGCACAATCTCAATATGGCCCTGCATATGATATTTGCACACTTATTTCATTGAATTCTTAATGAAAGATTTTGATAACTGTCTCAGATGTTGGATTTAAAGGTCCCATGAAATTAAGGGTGCTTTCACACCTACACTTTTGTTTCGGAAAGTGTCTCGTTTGCCTAGTTAGTGCGGTTCGTTTGGCATATGTGAACAGGGTAATCGCGCTCTGTTCCGCGCCAAAGTAATCGCTCCGAGATCGCTTGAATGAGGTGGTCTCGGCTCGATTGAAACAAACCCTGGAGCGGTTCGACTGCACTGAAAAAGCGATCCGATCCGAGCGCGGTTATATCACAGTGTTTTATGGATATGTAATAGGCTTACGACTATATGAAAAGAGAATTATGAGTATGGCGGGAAGTTTTGCGAGTCTCCGGATGCCCGCAAACGAGTGATGATCTCCCGGTAATCTCGCGTCTCCCTCCCGGTCCTCAAATAGGCATCGTCGCGCACCCTTCTCACCCCTCCCCACCGCATCTCTCCTCAGACATGCGCGCGCACCCTGTCAATCACCCCCAAACCACCACCTCTCTTGACAGCTGAGCGGGACGCTGCAAAATAAACCCTGACACTCTGACCAATGTAAGGAGAGTTTACTCGCAAGTGACTTGTTTTAGCTCTTTTGGTCCGATTAGAAACTTTGCAGTGTGAAAGCGAACCGCTCCAAGAGCAAAGAGCAACAATGTAACAATTGTAATCTCTGTTTCGGAACAACTGAATCGATTCACAGGTGTGAAAGCACCCTTAAATAAAGATTTTTAGATGCTAGTATCAGCATGTAAGTCTTAAGGATAACTAGTTTGCTCTAAAACAGTGAAAACATTCACACTTAGAAGATATAAACATACAAATCTTGTAGGATAAGAAATTTCAGCTATAAATAATAATGAGAAACCGATAAGTCATCACTGGACTAGCAGATGAGCGATACATCACAGATTTTGATCATGACCCAAAATTAATTTTTTTAAATTAGCTGACAAAAGCTCAAAACTATCCAGTTGTCTTGAACCTTTAGGGCTCTATTTTGACGATTCATGCGCAGTGCAAAGCACAGGGCGCAAACGCATTCAGGGCGTGTCAGAATCCACTTTTGCTAATATCAGGATAGAAAAATCCACTTTGCGCCATGGCGCATGGTCTAAAAGTGTTGAGCTTATTTTCTTAATGAGTTACAGGTGTGTTTGAGGAGTCTCATCTCCCATTCCTTTTAAGCGCCAGTTGCGTCTCACCATAGCGCATTTGCTATTTAAATGATGACTTTGTAAGTGGAAAAACTGAGCGTTTCACTAGCAAGAAAACAGTTAAACAGAGCATGAGAGAGAAGGCCTCTCATTATCTACTTTCACATTTGCTCTCGTGGATAGGGAAACCTTGTACGCACAAACATCAATTAGCCTATAAATAATTAATTTAGTTTGTTAAGCGTAAAGATTTGTTTCAAAACTATTTCTAAATTCAGCTCTAATTTCCAGCAAACGAATAAATGAACAATAATAACGAAGTGTGCTCAAAAAACTAAGTTATATCCAAACACATATGCTGTGCCCAATATGGTCTGAAACCTGACAGGTGGGCAAATCTAAGCTTGTTTTTAATAAAACAAATATATATATGGATATAAAAAATAATACTGCTAATCATGATAACATTAAACAAAAGCAAATTGTCATGAATAAACTGAAAAAGCCCCCCGAGATAAGGTAGGCATGAAAGTATGGTTTTTATATTTATGTAGGCTAGAAAATAATGTTTTGTAATATTTTAATCCTTTATATTTATATCCTATAAATATTCTTATTATATCCTTAAAATTCTATTCCTTTTTATATGTAAAGACATTTGCATATTGCTCTACATCTTGTGTGCATTAAGCAGTGTGTAAGCGAGGCGCACAACTAACGCGCTCTGTGCTGGACAATAGACCGGCTTTGTTCTGGTCTATTGAAAAATCTATTACAGTTTCTCATAATAGCAACATGCCAGCAATGTGCCTCAACACGCCTTCCTTTTTAGACCAAAACGCCTATGGGCGTACATATGAGCGCAAATGCATTTGCTATTTAAACAGCGTGGCTCAAAATGTCAAAACGACTCTTGCACCAAGCTGAAACTAGCAAACAATTATTGCGTCGCGTCTTGCGCCGGGTATATGAAAGGGCCCTTAATGTGCACCCAGTTGTGTTGGCCAATCGGACAAGAGAAAACAATGTTCACGTTTACGTCATGACGAGAAGTTGTAATGTCCATCCGACCACATTGTACCCAGAGTTTTGAAAAATCTTGACCCAGGACAAAGTTTTTAAAAAGTACTGGTTTCAGTCACCTAATACTTCATTTTTGAAATGAACAAACAGCTAAACCAAATAGGAAAAAGTGCGGTTTTGGAAAAAAAAAAAACATGTTTGTGTGGGCAGGGCCTTACAATTTTCTATGCCCTTCCCTCTGTAAGTTCCCTCCGTCTCGTTCACTCATGTGTATGTCATTGATTACGTTACACTGGTGTCCATTACTAGCACTACATCTGAGTGGGTTTAAATGGAATTCCCTCACGTCTTGGGATCTACACTGTTATTGCTTCACAATCGCATTGCATCATAGGAAATATAGGTGATGTACTGAACATATGAATTACACTAGCTCCGTGTCAAAATCGAGAAAATGTCCATGTAAACTTCACTCGTTTACATAACGAAGTGCAAATGGCAATGAAGGAATCCACTCACTTATCACTTCCTGATTAACTGGCGCCAAATATAAAAAGTTAAAACTTTTTTTTTTTTTCTTGATTCTGGAGGGGATTAATAATATAATAACACTAATACTGAAACATTTAAGGCATTTTACAATGACTAAAACAACATTTCAGATGTTTTACAGGGTGTTCAGCCTGCTGGTTAAATTACATTCTGGAATTTGTTCAGTAAAAGAGTATCCATCATAGTTCGTGTGCATCTTTTCCTATCGAATAAAAAGTTTATCCTGCTGTTATGCGCATATGTCTTTATGCACATTTTCAAAATTGATGCGCATCTTGGCGTTTCCATCTACCATATCCAAAGTGAGCATAAAAATAGGTGGATAGAAAACATAGCTATTGGCAAACCTCTGATAATTACTTCAAGCAGAGACTAAAACTGAACTTTTCAAAGCATTTCACAGGACCTTTAAAAGAGGAAATAAGGCCTGGGGCTTCAACTTTTTGATGTTTAATTAAACTTTTTGAGGTATAAAACATTGATAGAGGTATACGTGCAAAGAAAGGGGATAATAAAAAGTAATCTGATTGTTGTCTTTTATAATAATTAACTGATCAGACCTTACATATAAAAGTAAGAAAAAACACAAAATTATTAAGCAAGCAGTGCTTCTGCAAAAGTTCCTAAAGCTTCATAAATCAGGAGTTTAGGTAGTAACCTTGTAAACAGCTTGATGGAGGCAAGACCAGCCTGACAAAGAGTAAGTCCCATTGACTTCTGCTCCATTTCTCACCAACAGCTCAATCACATCTTTATGTCCACCATCTACAGCTTGGAACAAAAAGCAAAGCAATGTATAGCAAGACTCAAAACAGGAAACATACATGCTGAGATTGTAGACTGTTTAGCATTTTTACCAGCATAGAGGGGACAGGAGAGATCATTGGTCTTCCTGTTAATGTCTGCACCAGCTTTGATAAGCCACTTCACTGCCCGGAGGTGTCCATATTTCGCAGCAAAGTATAGAGGAGTCTCTGAGTTGTGTGTCAAAGTGTTGACGTAGTCTTCGCAATTGACTGAAATAGAGAGAAACAATTAGGTGCACATTACAGTCAAAAGCAGCATTTTTGATAAACAGCATTTATATTCATTCGTTCATTTTCATTTGGTATAGTCTCTATTTCAGAGATCACCACGACGGAATTAAATCGCCAACTATTCCAGCATATGCTTTACACAGTGGATGCCCTTCCAGCTGCAACGCAGTATTGGGAAACACCCATGCACACACACACACTATGGCCAATTTAGTTTAGTCAATTCACCTAAAGCACATGTCTTTGGACCATGGGGAAACCGGAGCAGGAGCACCCAGAGAAAATTCACACGAACACGAGGAGAACATGCAAACTCCATACAGAAATGCCAGCTGGTCCAGCCAGGACTCAAACCAGCAACCTTCTGGCTGTGAGGCGACAGTGCTAACTACTGAGCCACCATGCTGCCCACATTAGATCCAGAATTTTACAAGTGTGATATTTTACCTGGAATGTCAATTCTGTTATCATTTGCCCATCATTCTATCATAAAATATTTGGATTTATTTATTTGACAAAATTCTTTCATCTGTAGAACCAATTTTCAACAGAATGAATGTGAATGATGTTAAAGGGCTGTCAAGCTTTAACATAAGCTCCCAAAACATATTCATGTTACACTACATTTAGATATTGTTTTGTTGATTTACGTATACATAGAAATGACCTGTCATCACCCCTTTTTTATTAATACTAATATACTTTTACAGATTACATTCATATTTTTAAGTTAGTCAAGTATGTTTTGATCTTTTATATATATTTTTTAAATACTGTAAGCCTGTTCATAGTTTAAAATTAACCCTAGATTTTTTTTTTTTTTAATTTGTGATTTTTAGACTTTTTGTTTTGGGACTTTTTATTTAAATTATTTTCATTGCAGCTATTTTAGTATTGGAAAAAAAAAAAAAAAAAAAATTGGCTCGATAAAACAGATTAGAATTACAAACCATCCAAACTATAATTTGAATTTTAATTTAGTAGAAAATCTACAATTTTACTAAAACATCAAGTTAAAATAAATGCAAAAAATAAACAAAATCTATAGAAAGATGTAGATATTTAGAGATAAAATATTTACAGTTCTCTAAATAAATAAGCACACCTCTCTCTTTTAAATTGATATTTTCATGAGATTGTTAAACAATATTATATGAGTAATTACATTAGATTTGTCAGTACCAAAGACAAAACTGGAAAAAAGAAAGATCTAACTAAGAGACACATAAAAAATATAACACTTTGCAATTCAGAATATTTTTTGCAATGACTTATTTAAATTTAAATGTATTATCATTCAATTCCTAAAGATGTTAGTTGACCAAACTCTTATTTTAATGAATAGAACTGTTTAATAAACCTGCTTTGTTTAAATGCACCACAATGTATAGGTGCTATTCACTGAAAATATGGTCAAAAATATAAATTTTCAAAAGGAAGTGCAACTCATTTATGCTGAGCAAATATAGATATTATATTATAAAATATATAGTTGGTTTAATTTATTTAAAGTTGCAGTTATAATGGCAGCATGGTGGCTCAGTCGTAAGCACTGTCGCTTCACAGCAAGAATGTCGCTAGTTTGAGCACCCGACTGAGTCAGTTGGCATTTCTGTGTGGAGTTTGCATGTTCTCCCTGTGCTCGCGTGGGTTTCTCCCAGTCCAAAGATATGTGGCATAGGTGAATTGAATAAAGTAAATTGGCCATAGTGTATGTGTGTACATGTGAGAGTGTGTGGGTGTTTCCTAGTACTAGGTTTAAGCTGGAAGGGCATCCACTTTGTAAAACACACACTGGCGGTTCATTCCGCTAAGGCGATCCCTGATTAATTAAGGGACTGAGTTAAAAAAATTAAAATAAATAAACGTAGTAATAATATAGTAATATAAATATTTAAATGTTGTTGGGAAAATCAGTGCTAATATATTACATTATATTACATAATATAAAACATCTATCTGATCCAAGTGTTGAAGATAAAAAGTTTATAAACTTTAAAGATAAAAAAAATCACTTTGCATCTTTATACTTAAAATACGACACACAAGTGTGTACTTCGTCTCACTTTAGACCCAGTCCACATTTATTTTTACTTTGTTAAGAAACTCACTGTCGTGGTATTTGTTTCTCGTGTTTGACTAAAGTCGGTCAGTAAGTCATACAGTACGTTACATATGGTCATTGAAATGCGGGCGAGAAAACAATGTCAGAATTTCTATTTCTAAGTGAACTGTCCCCTCTTGATTAGCAGGTGGTTCAGGTGTGTTGGATTAGTGTTGGAACTAAAATATCAAAAACACCAGCCCTCCAGGACCGAGTTTAAGCACCCCTGCTCTAAAAGTTTAGAGTTAACGGTAACGTTACTGAATTAAACCGTTACCAGCAGCGGGGATCAGAAGCCGAACACACCCCGCTGTTCCAGCCGCCGCAGCCTCATGCAGAGCGTTCCAGCCCCGGTTATCTTTCACGTCCACAGCAAAGCCTCTCCGGATCAGCTTCTGAACTCGGCGACTCTTCCCGTCCCGGGCGGCCAGCGCAACGGCTGAGCAAGAGTCTGCATAACACTCGGTGAAGTCCATACTTTAGAACAACATTCTGTGCATCACCAACTATGATCAGCTTGGCAAATGATTGTAAAATAAGCCTGCCTTGATTGTAAAATAATGACTTAACAGCTGCGAAACTAATAAGACATGCACGATACAATAAAGAGATATTATACTGCTGTGCTAAAGCATCTGTAAACAACTGAATGATTAAAAAAGGTGTAACATTAGTTTCAGTATCCGAAAAATATAACGGACATTTCCGGTGACGCCGTTTTCTGATTGGCTGATTTAGGGCTCCGGCTAGAACAAACGTGTTTGATTTTATGTTCCGCCCATAAACATGTGGGAAAATGAACAATATAAAATGTAAATTTAATGTTTTATTACATTTTTTACATTAATGAATCGATCCACCAACTAGACTACAACCACTCCATATTTTAAAACACGATATATATGTATATATGTGTATTTATATATTTGAAACACTTATTTGTAGGGCATACTCCTTCATTCTTCATTATTACATAAAGTATAGCTGGAACAAATAAAAACAAATATGACAAAAATGGTTCATAACTCATAACCCTTAAATAAGAACTAAGTTATAGAATAGTTTCGATATAAGCTCAACTCCGCAAATTAATTTAGATAAAACGACCTCAACCCGTTAATGTCAAAGCTATTTGTTTATTTATTAGTTTTAATACTGTAAAAAAGGATACACACTGTTTACATTTATTCTGGTTACCATAGTCATTTTACTAAGGGGATAATTTTTAACCCAGTAAAAGGGCTTTTATTTTAAAATATTTCTTTTGATCCATTACCGACCTTAAACCTCAAACTAACTGACGTACAGATGTCAACATTTATTTATTTATTTTTGTACCGAAACCATACATAAACAAGATTAACAGCTTGTAAATGATAACATCCCATCAAATGACGTTTAGACTGAACGTGATGAAAGACGCATCTGCCCACGGCAAGTAACATTATGTCTTTCTTTTGTATTCCTCATTGGTACTAATCTCCGTGTTTAGTCCACACCTATGCCAACCGTGTCAACTAACCTAACCAGACCCGTCAGTGGTACACGGGCCCGATAAACAAACCGCCATCCGTCGCTAACGTATATAAGCCGAGCATGTGTTCTGACACACTGTAAGCTAACTTGACGTGACATCGGCAGCAAACATGTGGGTTTTCGGCTACGGCTCTTTGATTTGGAAAGTTGACTTTCCGTACGAGGACAAACGAGTGGGCTTCGTCAAAGGCTTCAGTCGCCGGTTCTGGCAGGGAAGTACGGATCATCGAGGAGTTCCTGGAAAGGTAATTTCGACATTAAAGTCCTCCGGGTTGATCAACAGTCCGCAGGTGTTCAGTCATAGCGACCTTTCAGGGTGACAGAGCACTTAACAGAGTCCGATTAACACTTTTATGTCTTATTGATTGTATTTCAGCCTGGCCGAGTGGTGACATTAATAGAGGATCCTGAGGTAATGACTGTCAACCTACTAAATACTGCTCGATTTATACGGCTAAAGCCAATACAATGGTGATATTTATGTATACTGTATAGCACGAACTCGTGGGATATTAAATAAGATGTAAACCAATATATTACGCTAAATTTACCTTTCATATACATCTATCATAAATTATATCATAAACTATATGATCATATATCATAAACAAAATTTACCTTTCATACAGTATGTATCTATCATACACGAAATAATCATATATCATAAACTATATCATAAACTAATCTTACAGTTACATATACATATCATAATCTATATATAATATATCATAAACTAATATCTTACACTAAATTTCATATACATATATATATATATATATATATATATATATATATATATATATATATATATATATATATATTCATATACATATCAAACTATATCATAAACAAAATTTACCTTTCATACAGTATGTATCTATCATACACGAAATAATCATATATCATAAACTATATCATAAACTAATCTTACACTGTTACATATACATATCATAATCTATATATAATATATCATAAACTAATATCTTACACTAAATTTACCGTTTATATACATATCAAACTATATCATAAACTAAATTTACCTTTCATATACATGTATCATAAACTATAAATCATAAACTAATATCTTACGATTTATTTCATGTACATATCAAACTATATATCATAAATTAATCTTACACTAAATTTACCTTTAATTTACATCTATCATAAACTATATATCATATATTATAAACTAAATTTACCTTTCATATACATATAACAAACTATTTATCATATATCAAACTAATATCTTACATATAATATGTTATTTTTTTTTCTTTCTTTTTTTTAATTCCCAAGGAAATTTTCACAGTATGTCTGATAATATTTTTTTCTTTTGGAGAGAGTCCTATTTGATTTATTTCGACCAGAATAAAAGCAGTTTTTAATTTAAAAAAAAATAATTATTAGCCCCTTTAAGCTATATATATTTTTTGATAGTCTGCAGAACACACCACTGTTATACAATAACATGCCTAATTAACCTTACCTGCCTAGTTAACCAAATTAACCTAGTTAAGCCTTTAAATTTCACTTTAAGCTGTATAGAAGTGTCTTGAAAAATATCTAGTCAAATATTATTTACTGTCATCATGGCAAAGATAAAATAAATGAGTTATTAGAAATGAGTTATTAAAACTATTATGTGTAGAAATGTGTTGAAAAAATCTCTCCGCTAAACAGAAATTGTGGAATAAACAGGGAGGGCTAATAATTCTGACTTCAACTGTACATCTATCGAGCTATATATCATCAAATTTTATAAACAAATATATTACACTCAATTTACCTTTCATATAAATTCACACTTTTATAATTAAGTTCATGATTCACTGTTATAAAGTTTAAAATAATAATGAGTAACACCGTTAACCTCACTTAAGGTTTAGTTAGTTGTAAATATTACACTTCTGTAGGCAATCCTAAAATTGCTTATAATAGTATGCGTAATATGCAATGCGTTAGTCAACTTTTTAGTCACTATTATAGTTTATGATAATTAAAATCACATTTGTGACCCAAACTGATGGTTTTAAACTAATTTAAATTTATGTTATATTAGATAGGTAATATTTACTGTAAAATTTATAATTTTTTTATAAGTGAACTAAAAACAGGCTAAGTAACCTTACATGAAATTAAGCCAGTTTTAAACAATATGATTTCATAATTACAATATTTTTATGGCTTTAGATTGTTTCTTAATACTCACACGTTATGTTAAATCCATTTTCCCACCATTAATTTTAAATAAATCAAGCATAATTAACATGAAACATACACTAGCTTTTCTAAAATTTCACCAAAAAGGTTTATAAATATATTTTTACTTGTAAATGTAAACTTTTTAAGAATGTCATTTTTTCAAGTCTTGTTTTTAATTGAATTTGATTTAAAAAAAAAAAAAAAACATCATCTTGCAAAAAAATTTGTTTTGATAATCAACATCTGATGTTGAAACACTCATTCATCTAGAAACATATTTCATCTCATTTGTCCCACACTCATTAGACATGTCATACGACTAATTGTGATATCAATTAACAATATAAAATCAATATTATTTCCATTAAGACATCCCAGCAGACATTTCTCCTACATACAAACAAGAACTACACAAGCAAAAGTGAATAAACCCTTTTCTTCTTCCTGTTGGTTCACTCTCTACTTACCTGTAGGGCTGTGTGTGGGGCGTTGCTTACAAGTTGCCATCAGGCCAAGAACAGGAAGTGAAAGAGTATCTAGACTACCGTGAAAAAGGAGGCTACGGCGTGATCACGGTTACATTCCATCCCAAAGATGAACAACAGCAGCCAATGCAAGACACATTGCTCTACATCGGCTCCTGCGACAACCCAAATTACCTTGGCCCTGCGCCACTGGAGACAATTGCTCAGCAGATAGTCAAGTCTGTAGGGCCCAGTGGCAAGAATACAGATTACCTGTTTGAGCTGGCAGATGCCCTCCGACAACTAGTACCTGAAGATCTAGATGATCACCTGTTCTCTCTGGAGCGTCTGGTGAAGCAGCTGCAGGAGCAGGAGGACATGGACTGATCTACCAAGCGTCTTCTGAAGAGCTCAGGAATCTGTTTACTGAAAAAGATCAGCTGGAAAAGCATTGGATGAGCAGGAGATACGCTACAAAATAGTTGTTTAATATACAGTAGTCTCTTTACTGAGTATTTGGTCTCTCTTTATATTAAGTGGCCCTAGTTATTATGTAGTTACATTTGAATTAATAATTTGGTACAATGCACTTATTGTGTATTTGTATTTAAAAGAGGTAGCGGAGTGTAATAACATTAACAATTACACTGTTGACTTTAAACCTTTATCTATACCCTCAGACTTACCTATACTACAAAACATCCTTTACCTTACTTATATAATCACCTCAAATTCATCATACATGTTTTGTACTATGTAGTTATGTCACTTTTAGGGACACTTGATATGAAATGGGACCAAACATTCTAATAAGCACTTGATTTGATGTTTTCAGTTTATTTGTCTTGTTAAATAATGAGACGCTAAAACAGATTTCAGTATATACCACATGAAAGTTGTGGGTACGTCCATGAACATGTAAATAATAGAATTTTTAATATTCTGAGGTCGGTTTTATTTTGCTCCGGATACTTGAATATGCTACAAAGCCATTTTCAGTTTATTTATGAAGTTCCATACTTTAAAATAAGTCATGCGAGGTGAATCGCTGGAACATAAACATGGTTAGGTCACATTTTATCCACCAAAAACACATGCAATAAATAAATAATTAACTGAATAGACAAAATAAACAGAGAATTTTTTTATTTTTTATTATTGAGTACAAATTTAATATTTTCCCATCCAATCCACTTTTTCCTCTTTTTTTTTTTTTTGTAATTTTGGTTATTTTTTGCTATGCAAAAAAGCAAACGTCCATCAAAACCTCTCTCTCCGTCCATCTTTTCATCCATTTAACTACCTACATTTTCTGTAAAATAAATAATAGTAGGCTTATTAATATTATCATTACAAGTTATCAGTAAAAAAAACAACAAATGAACATTTTTCTCCCCTCCAAAAAAAAAAAAAAAACTTTTAACAGCAAATCAAGAAAACTGATAATAACCCTGAAGTGGTCCCTTACTTTTTTCAGAGCTATATTTTTGTAGTTAGTTGTCTTTATTTGTCCCAGTAGGGAAATTTCATTTGCAGCATACACTCACATGCATTTATATAAATAAATCATTCAAAAACATGGTACCCCTAACTCTAAATAAATATCCAGTCTACTGGCTCTCAACTACTACTGAGAGAGAAGGAATTTAAAAACTTAATTGGTTAAGGTATAAATAATAATTAAGTCCTATTTCTAACACATTTGGGAACACAATATTGAAGACTTGATGGTAACAATTTGAAGGTGTATGATAAAGTATGTCTCTCATCATTCATCATGATAGCCTTTTTTAGTACTCATTCTTTATATACTATCAATGCTCTTTAGTTTTATTTCCAATACTGACTGTTGTTACCACGTTTCCCAGTGACCTATTCTAGGCCTCAGAAGCAAGTCCATACAAACGGATCACACAGAATGTTGCAATACTTTCAATAAAAGCACTTTAAAACATGGTCAACAATGTGTTGTCAACATAAAAAGACAGTCGTTTCTTTAAGAAGTACATTCTATGGTGAAGCTTTTTCCTTTTACAGTCAGTTCACACATCCCACTTAAGTTTATTGTCCAACATCACCCAAATATTTATAATTTGCTATTAACTGAATTTGTGACCCCATTATTAATGTGAGGTGAGATATTTACATAAAGTTGAAGTCAAAATGACTAGCCCTCCTGAGGTTTTTCCCCCTTTTTTTAATATTTCCCAAATGATGTTTAACAGAGCAAGACATTTTTCACAGTATTTCCTCACTGTTAACGATTTTTGTAAATTATACAGCATTTAACTGTAAAATGCACTATATTTTACTGCAGGACAGCTATGCAGGAGTGCGTTTGCCAAACATTGACATAACTCATGGCTGAACTATCATAGGACGATGCATTGTTTGGGAAATAAACGATGAAGTGACGAGTGTTTCCCCAAAACCGTAGTTTCTGTCGTGGATCCATCATTTGAACCACGTTAGTAATAACGTAAAAAGTCTATAATGATGCTTTGAGCAAGAATTTAATAATTTAATGAACCTTTAATGAAAATGGACAACATTGTTTGAATACAATTATATTGTTTTACACGCACGCACTTAAAAAAAAAAAAAACTATATTAGTTTTGGTAAAAACATGCATTCATTTTCTATATTAACTGAAATATAGGACTTTGTAAATGGCACATTTAGGGCCTATGTTTCCTTTACAAATATTATTAAAAATATTCCATATCGCTAAAACATAAAAACCACTTAGCTAACACGTATTCTAATCTCATATATAAATCATATACATTTTTATGATTGTAATTTACAGTAGGCTATTTATGAAGAAAAGTAATAATAATTATTATTATTTTATTACTATTAAGTAGGATATTGTTTTTTTTTATAGTCTACTTTTACAACTTTGACATTCAAACCACTGCAGAAATGTTCTAACCAGCAGGTCCATGTCATATACAGTAGGCTACAGATACATTTCTTAATAAGTAACCTACTATAAATAAAAAGCATTAACGTATGCTATATATGTTTTTGTTTTCAAAAGCTTTGGAGATGTAAAGTAAATTCCGCTTTCAAATATTAGGTCACCTATAGCTTTCATGATGAGCAACGGCTGCGGTCAAAATAGCATAAATGTTTTCAAAGTGCACTGCGAAGGGAGCACAATTGTCAATATTAAGTTCGCTAAAACGAAACTGTAAAAAAATACTTTGAAGGCAAATGACACCTAAGAGAGATTAATGTGTTTATTTTCTAAAAGTTTAAATGATGGAACGCTTGAAAGGAATAGGGCATAGGGGGAATAACTGGGAATAGAACACAGCCAGGAGCTCTTCTTTCTAACTACAGCTCTAAAGGAAGTGTAGAAGTTTGTAATGCTGTTTGGGAATGTTTGTTGGAATGATGGATTTGGCAAACGCCAAATAAACACTGTTTATAACGACAAAACTTGCGATCTTAGTTGGCTAATGACGGTTTTGGGAAACACACAACTTTATGGTACTGTATTTTAGAGTTGCATTGTGAAAATGACTATATTTTGTCAATATTTTATGTTTATGTAAATATATATACAGCAATAAAACGCGCTGTAAATGTAAATACAGTATTTTTCCTGTAATTGATTTATAGTAAGTAACTGGCAAACTTCTGCCAGTAAGTTTACTGTAAATACCACTGGAAATTGTTAACAGTGCTGAAATATTTTTTTCTATTGGAGAAAAGTCTCATTTGTTTTATTTCAGCTAGAATAAAAGCAGTTTTATTTAATAATAAAAATAAAAAAACATTTTAAGGTCAATATTATTAGCCCTTTTAAGCTATTTTTGTTTTTGATAGTCTACAGAACAAACCACTGATATACAATGACTTGCCTAATTGTACAACTTGCCTAACCAACCTAATTACACATTTAAATGCCAATTTAAACTGAATACTGGTGTCTTGAAAAATATCTAGTGAAATATCACCTGCTGTCATCATGGCAGAGATAAAAGAAATCAGTTATTAGAAATTAGTTATTAAAACTATTGAGTTTAGAAATGTGTTAAAAAATTTTTCCGTTAAACATAAATTGAAAAAATATATAAAGGGGGGCTAATAGAGTAGGGCTATTCTGACTTCAACTGTACATGCACACGTTTTTAGATCTTTTTTCCTAAAAGATAAAAGTCTTCCTTTTTTGTTAATTAAAAAAAATAATAACTGGCGCGCACACGCACACACACACACACGCACGCACGCACGCACGCACGCACGCACGCACACACACACACACACACACACACACACACACACACAACAAAATGGGATTTGTGAAATTTACCCAAGCAAAGGTTTGACTTTGTATTCATTTATTATGGATTCTTTGTCAGAACTATTACAACTCCACTCATCTGTTGTTGTGTCCATTATGTGAACTCGATGTTTGTTGAATTCACAACCATACTGTATGCATTCATAAAACTATACTTTCCAGATAAACAGCAAGATTGTAGAGAGAAAAAAAACGAGTCCTTGCATTTTTAATTTGTTAAAAACAATACATTTATTGGCCTTGAGAGTAAAACAAAGCAAACATCTAAAAAAATAGAGAGAAATCACTGCAGTTTTGGCACTAAGCTAATGTTCCTATTATGTACACTCCCGAATGTAAAACAGAACTAACCATGGTAATAATAACGACCCGAAGCCCTGCCCTGGCGCTGTGTGCGATTCAATCTAAAGGGATTCAGAGGATGGAATAGGGAAAGACAAACCTGGATTCTGTCACATGCCAATAAGAAACGGCTTAAAATAGGATCCAAACTACAAACATGCACAATCACGCCATCACGCGCACGAATCCACCGCCATCCACAAACTCGCTTTACGTTCTAATTCTCTTCAAGCAGTTCTCAAGAGAAGACATGTCAGTCGCTTATGCATAGATAAATGCATATGTACAGTACATAAATGCATACATACACATATAAATACACAGAGGACACAAAGAAAACCCTGTCATGATGGCATGTGAGCGGAGCTACAAGACAACGTCACAGCTATTTTCACACACACACACATACCACAATAACGTCACAGTACTCAGACTTGCGTCCTCATGTGATGATAAATAATGAGAACTCAGCCCAAATTTATTGTTCGTCAAGTTATCGATCCGATGAATAAACATTTTGATCTATCCAAAAATGCTTTTATGGCAAAAAAAAAAACTTGATTGAGAATCGCATGCTGCTAGATGTAAAATGTTAAGCTACACGCTGAAAATATTCCAGTTAAATGCAACAAAGTCTAAATTTAATGGATTCAGTCGTTGAGCGATCGTCGAGTGCTCAGAACATTAAAAACTCACATCAGAGAGCATGATGGGGGCTTTGAGTTGGATTTATGTGGCGATCCTTAGGCAATCTGTCCTTCATCACACAATTCAACACCCCAGTTTTGAGAGGACCCCCTCCCCCCAAAAACCAAAAAAAAAAACTATCTGTACAATAATATTACAGACTGCAGGCCGTACATCCCTGCACTGGTAAACCTTAAATATTAAGTATAGTTTCAAAAATGCAAAAATATGGGCTAGATATATACATACAAACAGTACGTACAGAGTGTATTTCTAGGTGGTTAAATTGCTCGCCTCAGGTCTTGTGTTCTCGACATCTTCATGCCTATCTCTGTTGCCTCCTGCCCTCTTCTGATCATGCGCTCTTGGGTTCGACTTCATGAGCGTCTGTGTCCTTCCATCATGTCCTCGTGAATGCATAAGATTTGAATATAAAATAAAAAAAGGAAACTAAAACCTGCAGAAACGCTGTCAAAACCTGAAATGAAAAAATATATATATTCTCAGGTCATGATCATGCAATTAAGCAGCTTTCTCTTTCTTTAATGAGTTACTATGGCAACAGAACAGAATATAAGATTAGAACGGTCAAAATCTGTGAGGAAAGTCTATGGCTGTCGTGATACCTAGAGAGCAGCTAAATAAAATAGCATTTATTAGGCATCACAGGATTCATTTGCCACGAAACTATACCTAAATTTACTGGAAGGGGTCATGACCAGGGCCAGACAGAATCTGCAGACATTTTTTTGCTATTTCTGTGGAGAATTTTGGAAAAAAATCTGTGGATTTGTGCAGAATGATTTTGGAAGTATCATAACTAAAAACCTGATAAATAATAAAAATACAATTTTAACTTTTCTTTAATGCAAATCCATCTAGATCCACTTATTTGAAAACAGAATTTTATTTACTGAAAACAGAAAATATTACTGTACAAACTGTACTTTAAATAAATCAAATAAACACTTTCATATTAGTCAATTATGTTACTGAAATCAATTTAAAAACTGAATAAATATAAATTTACACACATTTACACAAGTAAATAAATTGTCTGAATGATGGGCT